ACAGGAGGAGGGGGGGGGGGGGGGGGGGGGGGGGGGGGGGGGGGAGGAGGAACAGCTCTGATGTGTTATCATTTGTAAATGTTAGTTCGTCCTGTTCTAAAATAAGTTTATTTGGTATTTCTAGTATAGCCAGCAAATGATCCGTTTTGTCCTTTGTGCTTTTCCACTTCTGCCCCTTGGCCCCACTGTTTTTGTTCTCTCTACTCTCAAAGTTGATGGAGAATTTTTATTTTTCATTGTTTTTACTGAAATAAAATTCAGTAACTTTTTCTTAAAAATATCTGAAAGCAGATTGCTGAATGATTAGGTATATTCTAGCAATGTTTTGATATATGAAACCCAAAATGTCTTAAGAAATAGGAGTCTCTATATGGGTATTAGCACAGATTTTGCCTCTCAAAGTAATTTTTGTTTTCTTGCTGGTTAATTAAATAATGCTTTAGGTTCTGAACCTGAATTAATTTGCACTCGAAACCATCCATAATTTGATCCCCGTCTCCCATCCGCTTTCCCCACACAATTCTCTCCATGAATTTTCAACAAGAATGCTCCTGTACAAAAGCCATTGAGTCATAGGAGAAACACCAGTTTTAAAAACTGGAAATATATCTAATCATTCAGCAATCTGCTTTTAGTTTAAGTCAATGAATTTTATTTCACTAAAAATAATGAAAATAAAAATTCTCCATCAGCTTTGAGAGTAGAAAGAAAAAAACTGCCAAAAGGCAAAAGTGGAAGAGTCCAAAAAACAAAACAATAGATCATGTGCTGGCTATGTTCATACTAAATACACTTGTTTTAGAACAAGACCGACTAATATTTACAAATGATAACACATCAGAGCTGGGGGGGGTTTTTGTTGTTGTTAATTGGCAAGAAAATGTAAGGGTAATTTTAAAATACACAGTTAAGGTTTCATAGGGAACACAAAGGCACTCTACCCACAAAACCCATGGAAGAAACACCACCTGTTCATGTGAGAGCATCATAATTCCACTCTAGGAGGCCTCTTAAAGTTTTCTCTGACTCATTTAGGCATGCTATTATGATACCTAATAATATCTTCATCATAATTAGTAGCACACTAATTGTCTTTCTCTGCATGTCTCTCCACAAGCCTGTAAGAAGGTCAGAACTGGGTTTTTTCCAACTATATATCCACAGTCCCTAGTACTGTAGTAATTAAAGTCATGTCTTAATTAATAGGTGCCCTGCCTCGAATTTAGTATTTATATATTAATGACTTCTCAGAGTCCTGTAAGGTAAACACAACATAATTAAGCTCAAAGAGGTCAAGTAACTGGCGGACGTTGAAATAAGTTATAGGTTAATAACTGAAGTCCCACAAAGTAGGTCCACAAATTGGACCCAAAATACAATGATACAGTGAGGCTGTGTAAGAACATAAACCACAGAGATTTTCTAAATGAGGATGAAAAATGTATTGCATTTTTTAAAAGGTCATCCTCATGAACGGGAAAATGATCCCTATGGAGGAATGACAGCTCATGAAGCTTCGAAAAATACATATTCAAGCACGATAGCACATCCATGAGAAAGGTATCTGACAAAATTGGGAGGAAGAGACCTCGGAGACCTCCCACCCCTCCTCACAAGGCTGGCCTTGCCCCCACGCTGCCACATCGGCCCTGCAGGCGTGGAAGAGGGCGCAATCTCTCGGGATGCACCGAGCCTGACACAAAGCCGCCCGCCAGTGCCTCCCCCAGCGCGGCGCCGCGTCGACCTGCCGGGGAGGCCTGGGCGTGGGCGGCGGGTACCTAGCTCGGCCACGGTCGCCGCGCAGCCTGACAGCAGGAACTTGCTCGCTCGGGGCCATCTCTGGGTGAGCGGCAAAAGCCTCTCCTCATCCTCTGGAACGGACATTCAGCAGCAGGACTGGACGGCAACGCACCCCTTCCCAACGGTGCACCGCGCCGCAGCTGGCCTGCCGCCCTGCCAGGGCAGCCCCTCCTCAACCCGCGAGTGGCCGGGCGGGGACCATTTCCCCCTCTTGCCTCGGTCCGGCGAACCCGCAGCCTTCGGGGACGTCCAGCGGCCCCAGGCGCCCAAAAGCAGAAACACAAAGCGGAACCACGAGGCTTCTGGGTAATGTAGTCGGCCGGGCTCTGCGACTTCTCCGATTGGCCGGCAACGAGACGCCTTTTGCGTCTCCGCCCTCGGTCTCCATGGCAACAGGGCGCGTTCCCTCCCACCAGGTCCAGCTCCTGCATTTTTTCCTGCGGTGGCCTAGAGCCTGGACTTGAACAGAGGTGGAGGTGGGAGGGAGCGGTGATGTAAAAGTCACCTAAAAATTGGGGCGGGGAAAGGAAGCTATAGTTACGAAGGAGAACTAGCTGCAAAAGGTTGGAGCAAAAAGATTGGGAGGCCCGCGGGTGCCATAACCCACAGGGAAGGGAGCAGGTACCAGTGCAGCAAGACTTTTTCACACTTCCCTGACTCCTGAAGGTGCTGGACAGAAACATGGATCTAATTTCCCCGACAGTGATTATTATCCTAGGTTGCATTGCTCTTTTCTTATTCTTTCAGAGGAAGGACGTACGTAGACGCCCGTGTATCAAGGGCTGGATTCCTTGGATTGGAGCTGAATTTGAGTTTGGGAAAGCGCTTCTAGAATTTATAGAGAAAGCAAGAATCAAGGTACGTGGCGTGGCAGGCGGGGTTTCCGTAGGAGATAATGTTTTCTTTTTTATCATCTTTTGTTGGACGTCAAGCGCAATGTTAGAACGTGGAGAACATACCTGCGTCCCGCAGTTAAACGATCTAGTCATTTATGATCTACGTATTCCTATTGCAATGCCCATTCTCGAATAAATATCGTTCTCTTTTACAAAGCCTCTCTCTCTGTTGTTTAGGCTGACAGATTCCTCTCCTAACAATCAACAACTATGTCCTATGCAAGGTTTCGCGAAAGAAATGAAATACTCTGCAGCTTGCACCTGCCCTTTGGAAGTAGAGATTAACCTTTAAGTGCTAGTAACTTCGTCATAGTTAAATTCTAAGTGTATACTTATTAACTAAATGTTTGCAATCATTGTAAAAGACGGGAATGGAATACAATTTAAATTTGTGAAAATAAGCAACAAATTCATATCCAAATAGGAGTTAATATCAGGATGTTGTAAAAATTGCTTGCAAAGTTGGTCTTCACAAATTTAATGGGGTCACTGGATTTCAGCTGGTGTTATTGGAGGATGATGCGTTCCATTTTCACTGCACCCTAAAGAGATTAGTAATCATTGTTGTAGGAGATGTTTTTGTCCTTAAAGTGTCTTTCAGATGTGTGTGCGCTTTAGGGAATAGGTCTTTTGTTAACCTTTTAATTTTTATTGAATTTCCAGCCACGAAGATTTTATGGCACTTGATTGTCTAATGAATTTGTATGATATTAATCGTCATCATTGTTATGTATTATAATACTTTCTACTGTGACTCATTCTCCACAAGGTTTCTATCTGGTTAACCCAATTTACAGAATAATTTTATACATAGTAGCTTGATATTTATCGTGATCATTTACCTTTAAAATCTTTGAGGTTGCAATTTAGTAAAAAACTTGAAGAATACTGAAGATGAATACTAAGATGAAAATAAGAATAACTGAAAATATCACACCAGAAATAAACACTGTAAAAAAATTAGTGTATATTATTTTGGCTTTTTTTCCTATGCATTTACGTATAACTTAGCAGACAACAGTGGAATAATACTGTGTAGTGGAATGAATTATGTCCCTCCAAAACTGATTGAAGCTTGAATTGTGTCCCCCAGGTTTTATGTATTAGAAACTCGGCTCCCACTGTGACTGTTAAGAGGGTGGGAAATCTTATTATGGTAATCAAAAGGTGGAGCCTTGAGGAGGCCACTGGATTGTAGGACCATGCAGTAGTGAATGGATTAAAAATGGTGGTTAGGGGTGTGGTTCTGAGGCTTTAAAAGAAGAGGAAAGTCTCTCTCTCTGCCGCCCTCTCCCTCCATCCCTCCCTCTCCCTCTCTCTGCTCTCCCTCCCTCTCTCCGCTCCCCCCTCCATCCCTCTCCCCCTTCCCTCCCTCTCTCCCCTTCCCTCCCTCTCCCCCCTTCCACCCTCTCCCCCCCTCCCCTCTCTCCTCAGATGAGACTTTGGACTTTTAAGTTGGTGCTGGAACAAGCTAAGACTTTTGGGACTGTTGGGATGGAATGATTATATTTTGTATGTGGGAGGGGCATGAGTTTTGTGGGGCCAGGGGCAGAATGATAGAGTTTGGATGTGGCAGTGTTGGGAGCTGTTTGAGTCATGGGGGCTGATACCTCATGAATGGATTAATGCTCTTCCTGCAGGAGGAGTGCCTGAGTGAGATCTTGCTCTATTAGTTTCTGCAAGAGCTGGTTGTTTAAAAGACCCTGGCACCTCCCCACTCATTCTCTCTTGCTTCCTCTCGCCATGTGATCTGCTTTTACCCGCAGCTGGCTGCTGTTTTCCACCATGAGTAGAAGCAGCCTGAGGCCCACGCCAGATGCAACTGTCCCAGAATCGTAAGCCAAATAAACCTCTGTTCTTTATAAATTACCCTGTCTCAGGTATTCTGTTATAGCAACACAAAACGGACTAATACATACTGTAATACTATTTTGTGTGCTTTTGGATTTAACATAATGTGAATAATTTTCCCATGTCATTAACTATATCACTGAATCTTTTTTTTTAATGACTATATTTCATCATATGAGGTTATGTAGTTGATTAGTAGGCTTGAATAGGAAATTGCATCTAAATGGAAACTGTGTAAGACAGTGCTTAGGGCATATTGAACCTTCAGGAAGCAATTTCTAAAATTCCTTTATGAACTATTACCCTCAGCTTCTCCTGTCCCTGAAGAAGGCAGAGAAGAGAAAACTTTGATGACCACAAAATTCTTCCCTTTATTTTTATTTAATCTTTGAATAGATTGTGTATTTATATAGTTCAGAAATTTTAAAATATAAAAGTTACAGTGAAAAGTCCCTCCTATCCAGTCTTACCCCTCACTCCTAATCTTGGTGACACTGTAATTCATTTCTTACATATCCTTTCGTAGTTTCTTTCACCACATACAAGCAAATACACCTGTAGATTCTTATTTTCCACCTTTTATAAGCAAAATGCACCATACTGTTCACAACTGTTCTTCTGTCAACAGACATCGAGATCTTGATGTATCGGTACCATATATAACCACTAGTTCTTTTTTTTAAAGATGCATGGATATAGCTAAATTTATATAAGTTCCCTCATTGATAGACATGTAGTAGTGAGATTTCTGAGACAATGCGTGATGATCACCACCTCCTCATATCCACTCCCTTGAGTAATCACCTTCTCCGGGGTATCAACAGAACCTAGTAACTCACTTCTAATGAATAGAATACAGCGTAAGTGATGGAAAGCTACCTCTGTGATTAAGCTTTCATCTTGATAGCAGACTTCCTGGCTTGCATGCTTTCACAAAGAGATCTCATATGATGGAGAGGTCCACAAGGCAAGAAACAGAGGGAGGCCCTGGCCACCACCAGTAAAGAAAGAACTGAGGCCTTCAGTCCAATAGCCTGTGGAAAACTGAATTCTGCCACCAATGATGCCAGCTTGGCAGTGGATCCCACCCTAGTTGAGCTTTGAGATGGCTAGAGCCCAGTCTTTAGTAAGTTCTGTTACAATAGAAAAACACATGTTGCAGCCTAATACTTTGTACCTAGTAAATGAGATAGAGGATTTCATTTACACTTCAAACTGTGCCTGGTTATGTCAGTCTTATGTTGATTATGATTTATAGTTCTTTAAGCATGAGACCTTGCTAAAATCTCTGGCACTCTGACTAGGAAAGTTATTTTAAAGACGTAAGTAGTACGTGCCCCAGGATGACCATCTGCAGCTGCCTAAGATTCTCTATTAGGTGAAATAATAGAAATACTATTTGGAAACAATGTCCAAAAGTGTACTAGGATGAACTTGGGTATTTTGCAAAAAGAATATTCAATAAATATTTTAAGTGAACTGTTGGAAAAATATTGGCTCAAATTAAACATCATGATTTCTCAGGTTCTATTGAGGGAGTTGGTGTCTGCCTTCCACCAACACTTGTAGAATGAAAATTCCAAAAATATGGGCATAGGATCCAGCTGCCAAGCAGCCTCCTAAAAGACAATTTTTCCTGCATTAAAATAGTTTATAGACAACTTTTGCAGACACAGCAGACATCAAAAGAATAACAAGGGAATACTGTGAATAATCCTACGTACATACATTTAACAATATAGATGAAATGGACCAATTCTTGGTCATTTTACAGTATTCCCTTTATTCTACAGGAAAAACATAATAAGAAAAAAATTGAAATGTGATACTTTAAAGTGGAGGGACTCTTGCCAGCATTTGTTATTCTCTGTCTTTTTTATAATAGCCAGTCGAACTGGGGTGAGATGATATCTCAATGTGGCTTTGATTTTCATTTCCCAGATAATTAGTGATGTTGAGCATTTTTTTTTTTTTTCTTTTATCTATTGGCCATTTGTGTGTCTTCCTTTGAGAAATGTCTGTTCGGCTCTTTTGCTCATTTTTTAATTGGGTTACTTGTTTTTTGCCATTGACTTGTTTGAGTTCCTTGTGTATTCTGGATATTAATCCCTGGTCAATTGTGTAGTTTGCAAATATTTTCTCCCATTCTGTAGATCTGTAGATTTTATTCTCACTCTGCTGATTCCTTTGCTGTGCAGAAGTTTTTTAATTTGATATAATCCCATTTGTTTATTTTTTTCTTTTGTTGCCTGTGCTTTTGAGGCCTTATTCTTAATGTCTTTGCCCAATCCTACATCCTGAAGTGTTTCCCCTATGTTTTCTTCTAGGAGTTTTATAGTTTCAGGTCTTACATTTAAGTCTTTAATCCATTTTGAGTTGATTTGGTGTATGGCAAGAAGTACAGGTCTAGTTTCATTCTTCTACACATGCATATCCAGTTTTCCCAGCACCATTTACTGAAGAGGCTATCCTTTCCCCAGTGTACGTTCTTAGTGCCTTTGTCAAAGATCAGTTGGCTGTAGGTACCTAGGTTGATTTCTGGATTCTCTATTCTGTTTCATTTGCTCAAATGTCTATTTTTATGCCAGTACCATGCTGTTTTGGTTCCTTTAGCTTTATAGTATAATTTGAAGACAGGTAGTGTAATGCCTCTGGCTTTATTTATTTATTATTTTTTTTTGCTCAGGATTACTTTGGCTATTCCGGGTCTTTTGTGATTCCATATGATTGTTAGGATTATTTTTTCTATTTTTGTGAAGAATGTCATTGATACTTTCACGAGACTGCATTGAATCGTTAGATTGCTTTGGGTAGGTAATATGGACATTTTTCACAATGTTAATTCTTTCAATCCATGAGCATGAAATGTCTTTCTGTCTTTTTGTGTCCTCTTGAATTTCTTTCAGCAGTGATTTTTCGTTCTTATTGTAGAGATCTTTCACCTCTTGGTTAAATTTATTTTTAGGTATTTTATTTTTGGGTAACTATTGTAAATGGGCTTGCTTTCTTGATTTCTTTTTCTGCTACTTCATCGTTGGAGTATAAAAATGCTTCTATTTTTGTATGTTGATTTTGTGTCCTGCTACTTTACTGAATTCATTTATCAGCTCTAAGAGTTTTTTGGTAGAGTCTTTAGGTTTTTCTATATATAGGATCATGTTGTCTGCTAACAGGGACAATTTGACTTACTCTTTCCTAATTTGGATGCTCTTTCTTTCTTTCTCTTGCTTGATTGCTCTGGCTAGTGCTTCCAATACTATGTTAAATAGGAGTGGTCAGAGTGGGCATCCTTGTCTTTTTCCTGTTTTTGGAGGAAAAGCTTTCAATTTTTCTCTATTCAGGATGATATTGGCACTGGGTTTGTTGGATATGGCTTTTATTGTGTTGAGATATTTTCCTTCTGTGCCTAATTTGTTGAAACTCTTTATTATGAAGGGGTGTTGAATTTTGTCAAATGCTGTTTCTGCATCTATTGAGGTAATCGTATGGTTTTTGTCCTTGATTTGTTGATGTGGTATATCACATTTATTGCTTTGCATATGTTGAAACATTCTTGCATCCCTGGGATGAATCCCACTTGATCATGATGTATAATCTTTCTGATGTGCTGCTGGATTATGTTTGCTAATATTTTGTTGAGGATTTTTGCGTCTGTTCATCAGGGGTATTGAGAACCCTTCTACACTGTTGGTGGGGCTATAAATTAGTACAGCCATTATGGAAAACAGTATGGAGGTTTCTCAAACAACTACAGATAGAACTTCCATATGATCCAGCAATCCCACTTCTGAGTATATACACAAAGGGATGGAAATCATCACGTCAAAGGGATACCTGCATTCCCATGTTTATTGCAGCTCTATTTACAATAACCAAGATATGGAACCAACCTAAATGTCCATCAACAGATGACTGGATTAGGAAAATGTGGTATATGCACACAATTGGACTACTCAGCCATGAACTTGGAGAAAATTACATTAAGTGAAATAAGCCAGCCACATAAGAAATATTGCATGTCCTCACTCAAGTGGGAGCTAAAAATAAATAAATAAATAAATGAAAGAGAGAGAGAGAGAGAGAGAGAACAATCACAACAATATATTGAACTTTCAAAGGAGAGAACAGAACTGTGGTTGTTACAGGTAGGAAACAAGGAGGGGGGAGTTAGCAAGAAATTGGTTAAGGGTCACAAAGAATGATTATGTTTTGTAAAGATGAGTGTATTAATTATCCTGACTTCATCATCATATATTGTGCACAGGTATTGATATTCAACTCTATGACCCACAAATATGTATAATCAATTATGTTTTGATAAAAAATAAATCAATATAAAAAAGGAGCTTCAACCTAAAACTCACATCTTACACAAATATTAAATAGATTACAAATTTAAATGTAAAATATAAAACTATGAAAATTTAAGAAAAATATAGAATATCTTCTTAATCTAGGGCTAAGAAATAGTTCTTAGACTTGACACTGAAAGCGCAATTCATAAAAGGAAAAATTAATAAATCTAACCTCATCAAAATTAAAAACATTTGCTTTGTAAAAGAGCCCATTAAGAGGATGAAAAGTAAAGTACAGACTGGGATAAAATATTTGTAAGCCTCATATACAACAAAGGACTAGTATCTACAATATATGACAGATAGCACATAAGCACATACAAAGATGTTCAGGGTCATTAGCTATTACGGATATGCAAATTAAATCCACAATGAGATATTACTACACACCTGTCAGAATGACTAAAATAAAAAACAGTGACAACACCAAATGTTGGTAAGATACAGAGAAACTGAATTACTCAGACATCTGGTGGAAATGTAAAGTGGTACAGCTACTCTGGAAAACAGTTTGGCAGTTTCTTAAACAACTACACATGCAGCTCACCATATAACCCAGCAATTGCACTTCTGAGTATTTGTCCAAGAGGAATAAAAATTTTCGTTTATGCAAAAACCTGGACATGGATATATAGAGAGACCTTATTTGTAATAGGCATAAACAAAAAGAACCCCAATGCCCTTCAACAATGTTTCCACAAACTGTGATGTTTTTATACCTTGGAATATTGCTCAGAAATATAAAGGAATGAACTCCTGATACACACAAAAGCTGGATGAATCTCCAGAGAATTATACTGAATGAAAAAAAACCAAACAGTTTGCACACTGTATGATTCCATTTTTATATCATCTTTAAATTCAAAATTACAGAAATGGAGAACGAATTAGTGGTTTTCAAGAGGTAAGGAAGAGGCGGAGGCTAGAGGGAAGTGGGTACAGCTATAAAAGGGCAACGTGAAGGATCTTTAAGGTGATGGAAATATTCTATACCTTGACTGTATCAATGTCAATAGCCTGATTGTGATACTGTACCATAGTTTTGCAAGATGTTAACACTGGGGAAAACAGTAATGGGGACATGGATGGTTCTGTAATATATCTTACAACTGCATGTTAATCTACGATGATCTTAAAATAAAAAATTAAAAATACACGAGCACTTCTGCAACACTGTATGTGCTTGCCTTTACTTCATAACACTGAGGCTGCTGACATTGCACAAAAAAAGGAGCATAAAAGGAAAGCAAATAAAACAAGAAACCAACTGTTACAGAATTTATAACACGGCACATGAGCATTTTTTCACTGTGCAGTTCTATGACAGTAAGTTACCTTAAATACCACATGTCGGAAGTTATCTCAACTATTCAATGTTTGAACTTGGTCGGTCTATACTTTGTAGTCTAGGTGCCAATACATGTTATAAAAGACGACTTTCCTAATGGAAAGTTAAAAATTCTCATCTGAACAAAACTTTAACAATGAAAATGAGTCATCTTCTAAGTATTGGTTAACAAACAATTGTAGATAGGGAATATTGGAATGTAGTATAGATGTCTGGATTACTGATGTGAGAAAATGGGACTTTACTCTTTGGTGTTCAGTGATTCTTGGGCCCACAGTCTCCTGGTAGTACCACCCAACAGTGTACCACAGGAGTAATGATGTGCCATCTTGTGGTGGGTTTAGAAATGAATAATATTGAAGTAGTGATGAGCATAAATGATGATTTTAGATATTTATAACTGTAATGGGATATGAAAGTATGATGGTTCTTTTGATGATAATCATGGAGAAGATTGTGGTCTGTTGCATACATTCATATTTAAAGAGAACACTAAATTATAGTTAGAAGTCAATAAAAATGATGATATAGTTTTTTCCCCCAAAAGGTCACAGACTCCGTGAAAATCAAATCCTGTGCTAATGTTTGTTTGTAGGCTGCTAGGAGTGATCTGATAGAGAAAGAAAAATAAGTGACGTAGGAGAGAGAAGGCATAAATGTAGAACAAAGAGAAAGCAAGAGAGCATAGGATCCATAACACAAGTGAAGGAGTGTTGACATTTCTCAGGGGCAGAACCTTTCATCTGTGTTAACAGGAGGGAAGCATGGAGAATGGGTACACGTGTATACCTTGCAAGACTGGGTGGTGGGAAAATGAGGCTACTCTTACTCGATTGCCTCCATTTTTCCAGTAAGTTACAAGGCAGGGACACTATCTCAGAGTGGAGAGGGATGAGCAAGGTGGACAGGTGAGATAGTCATTTGGGGAAGTAAGAAAGTAAACACATTAGAAGAGTGTTTGGGATTGCAAGATGGTGTTGAGTGACCATGGATTTCTTGTAAAACCAGCTGGCAATTTTATATCTTTTTCTTGAGTGACATTGAGCTATCGGGGGCTTATAAGCCTACTAATCCTGAAAATAATGTTCAAATATCACAGTGCTGAAATAATTTTTAATTGTTATTTATAATTATTATTTTCTAATAGTTATTTTATACTACAAGAAAGGAAAGTGCAAGTAAATAATAGCATTATCAAAAGGAGTGTTACATATTAGGGCAGAACAAATTAGGATTTATGTAATTTAGATTTGGCTGAAACAGTCACAATTTATAATTAATTATCAGGTATAATCATAGTAATTTTTATCTTGACTAAAACTTTGGCATTGGGGTTCTTGAGGAAAACTATCTTAAACCTAACCCATGGCTTAGAAATGCTTCCTAATATGATCTGTGTTTATGTGTTTTATTTCAAATATTTACAGTCTTCGCAATGGGAAACCAAACGACCTTTGTTACTGAAGAAGAGGGAATTAATGTGTTTCTAAAATCCCCCCAAAATAGATTTTGAACAGTGCAAAATCCTGTGTATCATACAGGTAAAGAATATTTTTAGATAGGTTCATCTGAGATCCAACATTGGAATCCAGGAGTAGTCTTAGGTAAAAATAACATCCTCATTCCTCTATCAAGAATGATGAGGGCCTATTATTTTATTCTTGAGGTATGGCTAGAAGGGGAAAAGAATATATAATGAGTTTGGTCATTGAAAAGCAAATTGCTGGGCTGGCCCGGTGGTGCACTCGGTAGAGTGCGGTGCTTGAGAGCACGGCAGCGGCGCTCCCACCGAGGGTTCGGATCCCATATAGAGACTGGTCCACTCACTGGTTGAGCGCGGTGCGGGCGCGACACCGAGGGTTGCAATCCCGTTGCCGGTCGCGGTACGGGCACAACACTGAGGGTTGCGATCCTGTTACCGGTCACGAAAAAAGACAAAAAGGAAAAAAAATATAAAATAAATAAAAAAATTTTAAAAAAAAGAAAAGCAAATTGCTAGCAGCCTAATACATTTAGATTTCAATTAGACATGTGAAAGAGATGAGGATACCTCACCGATGTTTTCTTCAGAGAACATTTGGAATCTGTGTCATGTTACAGCTCTCAAGATGGCACTAACTGTTCTGCTGTGTATACAACATTCTACAGGCTACAGCTTTTGGTTTGATTACATGTTGTTACTCTATTCCCTGAAAGTAGAATTTTCCTGCTTAGTAAGCCTTTTACTATGTTATTTCCTGACATATCCCATAGGGCTGCTAAGGTAAGTGGGGGTTTGTTTTGCCCTCTCACAAATTCTTGATCCTCTGAGATTGCTAGATTGTGCTGGTCAGCATGATACCAGAGTGGCTGTCTGTCTTCATTTCTTTCCAGGAAGCAAACGTGTGCTGAGGCCACGTGTCCTCCCAAAAATGCAAAGCTGGTTCATTGTGTGCCTGGTTCTTTGCTTTTACAATGTTTGCACTTGCTTCTAGTGCCTGTGGCTTCCTGTCTGGTTCCCTGCTCAGTTTCCTTTTCACGTAGCCTCTCATGCATTTCTTGACATTAAGACAAAATGTTTGCTTTAAAAGCTGTCAGTGATCAATAGCATGATTATTATTTTTTTTCTTGCTTACATGAAAATCACAGCTGTTGGTTAAATTCTTTGACTATTTAGTGCTTCTTGATATTTGGACTATGGAATTCCAGATCAAAGAGTTTAAGTATTTTGGAGGCTTTTGATCTGTGTGCTTCACATATCCCTTCAGAAAAATATCCTAACTCACTATCAGAGGTGTATGAAAATTATGAAGTTTTTTCACTTTCGTGATTTTCAAGTTTAAGTATTTCTTTTTAACATATGAAATGTGCTAATATTTACTCTTGAGTTAGCTTCCCATTTCTCCCATATATTCCTTCACCATCAAGAAGATGTACGCTCAGGAAATCTAAAAATTATTTTTAATTAGCCTTCCCAAATGTAACTTACACATAATAGTATGATGAAATACAAAATTAAAACTTGTTTTCTGAAAAAGTTACTTCAAAGACAATAAAACAAGATTAAAAAAAAAAAAAAGAAAGAATTGAAAAAAAAAAAAACCAACTCACTCATACTCCCACTACCTCAACCTAACCAGGAGTATATATCCTGGAAGGAGCATGAATACGAGGGGTTTTCAAACAGTTTATGGAAAGATTCGTATTATCTTTTAATTTCATTTTCCACAAACTTTTTTGAAGTACTAATATGAAGGAAATAGAGGCAGGGGTGTCAAAGCTGTTCATGGGGTTAGGAAAGGCCTCCTGATGAGAGTAACAGTCAGGAAGACTCTTGAAGGATAAATAGAAATTAGCAGAAGAAATTTGGGGCTTATCAATGTGGGTGTGTGAGCGTAGGGATCTGGGGGATGGTAAAGTAGAGAATGTTCTGATCAGATACAACACCTTCTGAAAATGCTAGGATATGTAAAATACTTTGTGTTTTCAATATATCTTGAATATAGATTTGGAGGGTGAAGGGGCTTGAAAAACTAGACCTCATAATCATCCATCAGATACAACACCTTCTGAAAATGCTAGGATATGTAAAATACTTTGTGTTTTCAATATATTTTGAATATAGATTTGGAGGGTGAAGGGGCTTGAAAAACCAGACCTCATAATCATCTATTGATAGTTCATCCCTTGAAGTGAATTACATTATCAACTTTTACTGTCCCACAGTATAGGTTGAATCTTTGTCTACTTTTATTCACAGGAAGTGATTTTATGTGCTGGGAGGACTTTGGCTATAGCCCCTACTGGCCAAGTAATAGTAGAGGTATATAGACTCTTTCAGAGAGTTGTTGCTTATTTTGAATATAGTTTTCTCTGTTTATAGCATCAATTCCAAAGAATATCTTTTTAACACTGCATGAAAAACTCTATATTGTGTTGAAAGGGAAAATGGAGACTTTCAATCTCTATCAATTCACTGAGCAACTGACTGAAGGATTACATGAACAACTGGAGAACTTAGGCACTCAAGGGACAATGGACCTGAAGCAAAGTGAGGTAAATAGGCAAACAGATGCATTAGTATGATATAATCTTGCTATTTTTGTAATAAAAAAATCTGAAATCTATACATTAGACTTCAAAAATTATCTAGTAAATTAATGAAGTCTACCTAACTTGCTAATAAGACATCATTTTAATCTTATGTTATAATTAATAGTCAATTTTCAGTTTAGCATTCCTATTTTACGGTGAGTAAGTAAGACAGTACAATCATTCTAATACATTTACAGTAATTTCTTGTTAATCATTTCATGCAGTTGTGTATACGTTACATGGTTTTACCTCTTATAATTGTCATGCATCCATCAGAATTTTGATAAAACATTCAGTGCAATTTGTGCTTACTGAAACAATAGGACATTGAGAGGACAGGGGAGAGAATGGAGTCATTAAGTGGATAACAAGAGTCCAGGAGATGTTTGTCAGACTTACAAAGGTAGCTAAGGCCAAGTCACTGTGAGCCTCAGGACTGAACCCAGGGTCCTCTTAGAAGGGAGGTCTCAGAAAGCAGGAGAGACAGGAAAGAGCAGCAGAGGGAGTCAGCAATGTTCTGAAGCTTTCTGGAAAAGATAAAGGCTGGGCATAGGAGCCCTGAGAAAAATTCCCCACGTGTATAAGGAGATTTGGTAAATTAAAGTTACCCAAGGTACTTTTCCTTCTCAGTGGAATCTTGGAATGCTGAAGGTGGGATTCAACAGTTCTGACTCATAAAATGGAGTGACAGTTAGCATTTTGTTAGAAGTACAGAAAGAGAGAGATGGGGAAAAAAATAAAACCCAGAAACAATCAAACTTAAAAATTTGCTAAAGCATGCACAATATCTACAACAAAACAAGGAAAATCCTTGGATATTTTTGAAACTTTGGGGGAAGGATGCAGAGTATACATAAAGCAAATGTATTTCACCGGGCCAGGTTTTCCAAAGCCCTGCAGTTTCAGGTTTAGCCTAACTTCTTAAAATTATATATAAAAATGTTAACTGGCGAAAGATAGGAAATTTTCCTCAGGCTAAATCTCTGTTGTAAGGTAAAGAATTGTAACACAGCAAGGTTGCTGGCTCAAGGACAGACAAGTTACCGATTGATATGTAAAGATACTGGGAAGCTTTGTAGAAAAAGAGAATGTTTGCTAAGATCAAGCTTTTGTTGGTAGATCGACTTAACCTTTTGCAAATTGCATTATGGAATGTCACCTTGCTTGTTTCACTGACGTTATCATTAAACTATATTTAGCAAAAACCCAACTTATGTCCTTTTCCTGTAACTTCCTGGTCTGGAGAATAAATGCCTGGCATAATTTAAATAAGGGCACCAGTCCCATTCATGAGAGCTCCACCCTTACAGCCTAATTGCCTAATAATTCTGAAGGTAGAACTCTCATGATATTCTACCTGAAAATGAAGAAGAAATTTGGAGAAATAATGCTAGTTCCACAGACATTTCCCATTTTATGCTGTAAACTATTACTCCTAAAGTACTTTCAAATTAATTTCTACAGTTTTTTTCCTCATGTAGAAACTGGTCAAAATCCAAAACGTGGCTCGTAGCACTGTGTGAGAAAAGCATTCCAGATATAAAACCATACAAATCTGAAGAGGATAATTCTGTGGTAAGTATTCCTTTGCTTTTTTTGCTAAAATATGAGATGAAGATCATAATAAACTATGATTGTTAAAAATATATTTCTGATTAAAAAAACATGAGTTTAATTAGACACCATCTTCGTTCTAAGCTCTGTACTGGACATGTTTACATAAATTATTTTATTATCACACCCTCACAACACCAGCTATTAATTCTGCTCTATATAGGAAAAAAGTTGAGGCTTCAACAACAAAATAAAACAAAATTCTGAAATTCTTTCTTGATTTTTATATTATAATACAAGAGTACTTCAAAAAGTTCATGGAAAATGGAATTAAAAAAAATAACAGGTGAGCATGATGGCAAATCAGGAGAGGATAATAAAGCTATACAAAGCAAACTTTATATAAGCAAAGTAAAGCAAACTTGATGTCACTTCTGCTAGTTGTTTCTGTTTTCAAATGCAGGGAGGTAGAATATATAATTTAAAAAGCAAGGCACCAGAAGTCAGTGCCCTAAGTGTTATTCTAGATCTGTGATTCTTCAGACATAGTCCATAGACCCAATAGCACTAGCATCACCTGGAACTACTCAATCAGATATTTTGGGGTGGAGACCGCAGGCTGTGGTTTAACAAGCCTTCTGGTTGGTTTTGATACTTGCTAATGAATGGTTCTCACCTTTAGCTGCTCCTTAGAAACACCTCTGGGGGATTTTGAAAACTGTCTGAGGCCTGGGACCCCTCTCAGAGACAGGGTTTCATTTGCCCTGGACTACCTAGACTCAAATCCAGTCACCTGGTGTGACCTTGGGCACAGTACCTAACCTCTTGGCCTCAGTTTCTTCACCTATTTCTATTATCTCATGTTTTTCAGGGTCTAATATGCTTGCTTAGAAAGCATTTTAAAATATAAAGATAAATAAGACGACAATTTCAGTTATCTCTGAATTATCTTGACCACAGGAAGCAAATAGTAACCTCATAATGTTGTTGTGAGGATTAAATGCTTTAGCTTTTATAAAGCACTTAGGACTAGATAAGAGTTTATCATTGTTATTACCACTTTTAAACATCACTTCAAATATGTTAGTATTTAAAAATGATGTCAAAAGTTTTTGTTTTTAGTTAAACAGCAAGTGTTGTCACAAACAACTCTGCTAGCTAGAGAGGTGTGGAGTAACATTTATAAAGCAAATGTATTTCACAGGACCTGTCTTCCAAAGCCCTGTAGTTTCAGGTATAGCCTAACCTTTTAAAATTACACATAGGAATGTTAAGCTTGCAAAAGACAGGAAACTTCCCCCAGGCTAAAGTCTCTATTGTAGATAAAGAATTGTAACACCGCAAAATTGCTGGCTCAAAGGGCAGATGTCCTTGGTGCAGGTTAACCTACTGATTAATATGTTGAGAAAGTTACTTGATTTTTATGTAAACATACTGAGGAAATTCCTCTAGGAAAAGAAAGTGTTTGCTAAGAACAAGCTTTTGTTGGTAGATCGACTTAACTTTTTAAAAATTGCATTATGGAATGTCACTTTGTTTATTTTGCTGATGCTACTAGTTTCCATTGTTAAAACTATACTTAGCCATAACTCTGCCTGTGTCCTTGTGTTCTTTATGATAATTAAATCAACTGAATTTTCTTGCGAAACTTTCTTGTCTTTACAATAAAAGGGAGAAGGTAACTTTGAATCAGGGCTGTCACATTCAGCTTTCTCCTCCTAATGGGGAAATTACTGAAGTGCAGTCCTTCCAGGCTTCTCAATGCATTCAAACTGCTTTGAGTAATCGAGTAATTCTTTTTTATGTCTTCATTACACAGGGGGAAATGTAACAGAGAGGAAGATAGCGTTAGAAAAAAGAAATGTGTGAATGCCTACGAATCTCCCTCCTGAATTAAGGGAACAGAAAGCTGTACTGGAATGCCCTTCATTGACAAATTATGTTTCAGCTTTTATTTCTGTTTCACAAACAGCCCAGACATTTTTGTTTGCATTATTTTCCAGGATTTAGGGGCAAAAGTACATGTGTATAAAAGATGTTCCCACATAGATCTATAATCGATGGCTCTAGCAAACAAGGCCTTTAAATCCTCAGCTAAAATTCCCTACCAACAATACCTCTAGAATAGCATTTATTTTCCTTACTCTGAGGAAATGAGGCATTTTTAATTATAGGTACTCTAACCCCCTATTTGAATAAAGACAAAATTTGAACTTTGCTGAAGCCAATCCAATGTTTAAGACTTTGGGCAAGAATTCAACTTGGACATTTATGAGCAGTTTAACTTCATTTTTTAGTTTATCATTTCTTTGTTTTCCTCCAGAAATGTTCACACTGAGCTTATGTTTTTATTCTCACTTTTTTTTAAAAAAAAGTGGGCTAAGAAGAAAATAAAAATATTTTGTTCTCTTCTATTACATAATTTGATTTTAATGGCCTAGTCAAGCAGAAGACTGGGTAGAAGTTGTATTTCATTTCTTAAAAATATTATACACACATTTGATCACATCATAAATGTAAAATGTGATTTCTTCTATGTCATTGTAGATATATATATTAAACTAGTATTTTCATTTAAAATTATGACTGCCCTACAGAATAGCATATCAAAAGAATGAAATTATCAATAGGACTTTGGTGAGGTATAAAATCTGACTTGTAACAACTTACACTGATAGAGACCAGCAGTATGATAGAGACCAGCAATATACGAAATTCATATTTAAGCTATTTTAATTCTGCTAATCCATTATTACTAAAACAATAACAATAAGACATCAGCTAACATTTATGGGGTATTTACTTTATACCAGGCAGGCATAGTATTACACATTTCACAAAATTATTTCTTGTTTATTTTTCACAGCAACCTTAATACCAAGAAAACAAGGGATTATTAAACTGAAAAAGCTGGGGATTAGAGTAATCACTTGTGAAAAATCGCATGTCAGTAAGTAACAGCAGCAGTCTCTGTTATCATGTATTTTATATGCTAGTGGTTTAATAGTTATTTTCTGTGTCATAGGATCTGAAACAAAACCACTACATTATGGTACAATGCAATTCTCTTATTCCCTAATATATGGAAGTTATGAATGTGTCTCAGTGGCTATGAGTGTGGGCTCTGGAGCCAGGACCAGGCTCACAGGTTTGGATCATAGCTCAACCACATACAAACTGTATATCCCTGGCAAAGTTCCCTAACTTTACTGTGCCTCAGTTTCCTCATATGTATAATGGTGGAAATAATAGTATCTGCTTCTTGGAGCTATAGTGAAAATTGAAATGAATTAAATATCTGTAAAGCACTTAAAAATGGTACTTGCCCTTAACAAGAAGTGAATAGACATTAGCTCCCATTATTCCTGACATAGACCTGAGTTATATAAAATTTAAAGTGCACAAGTAATTTAATGAAAATGTTACAGTGTCTGAATTTCTTCCTCATTTCCCTTGGTAAAGGCAAATCAGGGGAAAACTCTCAAGGAAGAAAATGCCTTAATGAAATTTGTGTGGTGGCCTAGGAGCAGCCGAAGTAGGTCTTTGGACGGGGCTCTGCTCTGAGCTGGTGCGATTCGAGTCAAATGTCAAATCTCTGCATGGTATTAGATTATTGAAGTATTTATAATATACTAGCTTGAGTGTTCTCTCCCATGGTGTATAGGCTGAGAATCTGCATGGTAGATGGGGTTAGGGTTTTTCCTGAATGTTCCTGAGATTGTTGTTTCTGTGTTGCTTGCATTTTCTTAAGAGCAGAAGTTTATGTAAAAAAAAAAGAGAGATAATAACATTTATCAAAATGTAATATGTAATATGTACCAGGTTTTGTTTTAAGCACTTTAAAGTTACCAACTAATTTAATACAACAATTTTATGAAGTAGGTACCATATTGCGACCATTTTATAGATGAGGAAACTGAAGCCAGAGAGATTAAAGTAACTTGTCTGAGGTCATCCAGCTCTTCAGTAACTCATCCAGGATTTGAACCAAGACAGTAAGGCAACTGAGCTTCAGAGTCCTTACTCCTAATTACAAAGCTACCAGTAAATATGTAAGTCCCTTAGCATGTCTCAAACTGCAAGCCCCGGAATGGCAGGAATAATATCTTTTGGATTAAAGAAACATGCATAATCTTTTGTTTGTTAGCATAAATCTTTGTTACATAGCCATGTTTTCACAATATTTATTTCTTTTAAACAGACAATAATGTAGGCTGTGCTGGACATAGAAATGGAAACAAATGGACAAACCTCTCCCAGTTATGGGCTCTTAATGCTTTGGGCTTCCCTGTCTAATGCTGTTCCTGTAAGTATATTAGTAAAGCATGAGTTACATTTCTGTCTACTGTATTTTCATTTTTTCTCTTTTTGTTTCTTCCATCCTTTTGTTTTTTCCCCAGTCCTTTCATTAATTATGGTGAAGAAAAAGACTATAATGGATTCGGTTGTGAGATAAAAAACAAAACTGAATGCCTGGTGAATCTGATTAGGTCACAAAAGAGGCAAAGCAGAGGTTCAAAGTGAATTCTATCCTCTGAAAGGCAGTGTGTAACAGGCTGAGGAAAAAGCTTGCCTTTGGGGCCAGTTGTGACAACACCTGTTTATGGAACACTTTCTGTGTGTCAGGCAATGAACTTAGTATTGGTGCTGCAAAGATGAATAAGGCTTGGCCCCAACCATTTATGGGGTAGACAGTAGGTAAATGGATAGTTTCAGATGGAACTAGGCTTGAATCCAGACATCCCCAGCCCCAAATTATAGAATCTCATTGCAGTAACTTACACTCTGTGTGCCTCCATTTTCTTATTGGTATAAAAAGTAATAATGCACATGAAATTCCTAGTATGGTCCTAGGACTTGGGTATTCAAGAAATGGTAACTCTCATTTCTCTACGAAGTTGTTGTAAGGACTGAACAAGATAAGCCCAGCAGGTACCCGATGAAGAGTAGCTCTTTCACTCCCCTGTACCCATTCTCCTTCTGTGCACCATTCCCTTTTGCATTACTTACATCTTGATCCTGTAAGCTTCCCCATGAATGGAACTAGTAACATTGGAACTCACAATACTTCTAAAGAAAGCAGAGACTCTTTTTTAACTGTTTCTTTTTGAAGCTGTCATGAACTAGATTATAGCCATGTTTTGTCTACCACATCATGTTTGATGCACACCAGTTTCCTGGGACAGGAAAGCTCTCACGTTAGCCTAAGTTGCTACTTATATTACCTAAAATTAAAGGGTACCCTTTTTTAATACATTTTTTTTCTACTAAACAGGAATATTCAACCCATTTTTAATGATAAATGCAGTCATTTTTCCCTTTTTCTTTTAGCAAATAGAAATAAATGGAGGTATTTTAAGTATTATTTATTTTTCCTTCCTCTTATGTAGACCTAGATGGTAAAAGCCTTTCTAAGTACTGATATTTTACTTTCCCTTAACCTGCTATGAAACTTACTGGGTAGGGAACAGAGATAGAAATTCTGGCCTCTCTGCTCAAATGTGTGTCAGGCAGTAAAATATATATTTCATCAGGCGTGGCCAAATAAAAATAGTCTAATCCCTTCCCCTTTTTCATGTATCTCTAATATTATTCTCTAATATTTTTCTTAAATGATTTTCTTGGAAACTCATTAAGCTATAGCAAATTTGAAAAGCAAACATCAAAACAACTCCCAAAGCAGCACCAAAACAGCCACTCCTGTCAGAGGATTAATTTTCAAACTCTCATTACAAATGTCCCCTGAAAGAAAGCCACGCAAAGCCCCATTGATCTGACACAGGGGAAGTCAGTTCTGTGGAATTGCTCCTGGTGCTGGTCTGAAAGGATTTAAATCATTTCTTTCGGAAAGGAAGTGTGTAGTGATTAGCACAAGTTCCATCACACTGACTCTTGTTGACACCTCCAAGAGGCAGCCTGGTGTTCAGGCAGAGACCTTGGAAAGGTTTTAAAGTCAGGTCCAAAGTCAATTCTCAGCACTGGGTGACAGTGGGCCAATTTTTTAACCTCTCCAAGACTTTCTGCCCTCATCTGTAAAATGGGGTTTGCAGTAGATTGAATTATGTCCCCCCAAAACTCCCTGAAGCATCAGTTGTGTCCCCCCAAGTTTTATATATTAAAAACTTAGGCCCCACTGTGACTGTTAAGAAGGTGGGAAATCCTATTATGGGAATCAAAAGGTGGAGCCCTGAAGGGGCGATTGGACTGTAGGACTGTGAAGTAGTGAATGGATTAAAAATGGTGGCCAGGGAAGTGGTTCTGAGGGCTTTAAAAGAAGAGGAGAGTCTGTCTCTCTCTCTGCTCTTTCTGCTTCCACCACCTTGCACTGTGAGACTCCTGAGTCACTGTCACCACTACCAGATGGACTTTGGACTTCCCAGCCTCAGAAACTTTAAGCAGTAAATTTCATTTTCTTTATAAATTACACAGGGGGGGGTATTTTGTTATAAGCAACACAAATGGACTAATACATAAAATTGGTACCGAGGAATAGAGTGTTGCTATATAGATACCTGAAAATGTCTTCCCAGCCTCAGAAACTTTAAGCAGTAAATTTCATTTTCTTTATAAATTACACAGGGGGGGGTATTTTGTTATAAGCAACACAAATGGACTAATACATAAAATTGGTACCGAGGAATAGAGTGTTGCTATATAGATACCTGAAAATGTACCTGAAAATGTGGATGCAGCTTTGGAACTGGGTATTAGGCAAAGGTTGGAGGAGTTTGCAGGACTTAGAAGAAGATAAAAAGATGAGAGAATGTTTGGAACATTTTAGAGATTGGTTAAATGGTTGTGACCAGAATGCTGATAGAAACATGGACAGTAAAGACCATGCTGCTGATGAGGTCTTAGATACAAATGAGGAATTTATCAGGAATTGGACAAAAGATAACCCTTGCTACACCATAGCAAGAAACGTGGCTGCATTGTGTCCATGCCCTTGGACTTTGTGGAAGGTGAGATTTATGAGCTGTGAACCAGAATGTTTGGTGGAAGAAATTTCCAAGCAGCAAAGCATTAAGAAAACTGAATAGTTACTTTTAACAGCCTATGCAGAGTTATGGCAGAAAAGGCATGATGTAAAGCCAGAATTTAAAAGGGAAGCAGAGTGTAAAGATTTGGAAAATTTGCAGCCTGGCCATGTGGTAGAGAAGGAGAGAGTAGGAGAAAAATGCAAGGGTGAAGCAGATAAACTGGTTGCTAAAGACATTAGCTTGGCCTGTGAGGCAGCCAGAGGCTAATAGGCAAGACAATGGCAGAAAAGCCCTGAAGGCATTTCAGAAGTCTGGAAGGATGTCCCTCCCATCACAGGCCCTGAGGCCGAGAAGGACTGAATTGTCCTGGAGGACAGACCTCAGGTGCAGCTGCCCTCAGGAACCTGCTCCCTGTATCCCAGCTGCTCTGGCTGGAGCAGCCCCAAGTGTGGTTCGTTCAGCAGCTCTGGAAGAGTAGAAGCCTGAAACCCCAGTGGTGTCCACTTTGTGGTAAGTCTTCAGGCCAGCAGGACATGAGAGCAGTGGAGGTGTGACTGCCTTCACCCAGATTCCAGAGGATGTATGGAAAAGCCTGGGGGTCCAGGCAGAGACCTGCTGCAGGGGCAGGGCTGCTGCAGAGGCAGTCTACTAGAGCAATGCTGAGCAGAAAAGTGGGGTCAGAGCCCCCACAGAGAGTCCCCACCAGGGAAATGTCTAGTAGAGCCAAGGCAATTGGGCTGCTGCCAGGACCCCACTGCAGGCCCACTGGCAACATGCAACACCAGCCTAGAAAAGCCACAGGCACCAGCGCTGCACCTGGCAGAGCTGTGGGAGTGAGGCTGCCTGTGGCTTTGGGGGCCCAGATGCCCCATTGTACCCAGGATGCAGGACTTGGAGTCAAAGAAGATTATTTTGGAGCTTTAAGACATAATGTCAGCCCTGCTGGGTTTCGGACTTGTTTGGGGCCTGTTTCTCCTTTCTTCTGGCCTATTCTTCCCTTTTGGAATGGGAATGTGTACCCAGTGTCTGTCCCACCATTGTATCTTGGCAGTAGATAAATTTGGTTTTGACTTTACAGGTTCACTGCTAGAAGGAGTTTTGCCTTTTATCTCAGATGAGACTTTGGACTTTTAAATTGGTGCTGGAACAAGCTAAGACTTTGGAGACTGTTGGGATGGAATGATTATATTTTGTATGTGGAGTGACATGAATTTTGGGGGGCCAGGGGCAGAATGATAGAGTTTGGATGTATTGTTCTACAAAATTCGTGGAAATCTGATCCCCAAAGTGGTAGTGCTGGAAGCTGATTATGGGGGTGGATCCCTCATGAATGGGTTAATGCTCTCCCTGGGGGAGGAGGGGTAGTGAGCGAGAGCCAGTTGCTTAAAAGACTCTGGCACCTCCTCTTTCTTTCTGGCTTCCTCTTGCCATGTGATCTGCTTGTACCCACCAGCTGCCTGCCACTTTCCAATGAGTAGGAGCAGCCTGAGGCCCGTGCCAGATGCAGCTGTCCCAGAATTGTAAGCCAAATAAACCTCTGTTCTTTATAAATTACCTAGTCTTGGGTATTTCTGTAACAGCAATACAAATGGACTAATACAGAAAATTAGGCTACCTACCTCAAAGGTTAGTTATGAGGATTATATTGGTAAGACATGGAAAGGGTTAACAGTACCTGGCACAACTTAGGTGTTCAATAAATGTTGGTTTTCTTTCTTCCAAAAATTATTGCTCTGGTTTCAGTCATTACTCTCAATGGCCCATTAGTAATGAACATAGGCTATCCTGGCATCTACATACTCGACTGCTCAAAGGCCTCAGGGTGGGAGTGGCCACTCCTGTCCTGTATATTGTGATTTCCCATCACTGCTGAGAGAGCTGCTGCAGCCCTGCCGGAGGTGTAGGTGTCAGGGCCTGTCCTTTCTTGGAGCCCAGATCATATCCTTATCTCTTCTCTCCTTCTTTGTACTCTGCCTCAAGGCCCATGGGACTCAGCTCAGGCTTCCAGGTTACTAGGAGGTACCAGGTTACTAGGAGGCCCCATTGTGACCTAGGTAAACTTCAGTAGACTGGCCCAAGATATTAACCATAATTAAGGAAATTGTTTCTATGGAAAACCATTTCCACATTCTAAGAAATTCCTGACTGCCAAATGAATTTTTTAGGACATTTCTCCAAACCAGTCTCAAAGCTGACATTTTACCTTTTTTGTCTGCTTTTTTTCTGAAATTCTTTCTATATACTTTAAGTAGCAATCACCACCTCCTCCCACTCTCAACTCCCACAGCATTTATTGTCTCTACACATGTTGGCACTTTCACTATCTTGTACATGTAGCTCTTTTTTCTCCTGTGTGTATCCCATATCCCCAACTAAGATGTAAAAGTTCTTTGGGCAGGAATTGTTGTATACATATTTATGTTTACCATGATGGGTAGAACACTATCTGGAGTGTTAAAAAGATTCCATCAGTATTTGTCAAATCTTTTTTGAATGGATGAATAAATGATGCTGAAGAGCATACTCAATTCATCTTCTCCTTGACACAGCAAAGACACGGAACTTTCCTCCTTGTCCCTCCTTACCTTTGTCCTTACCTCTCCAAAACAATGGAAAGACATTGGGGTGGTTGCTTCTGCAGTCACATGAGCCACGTGGCCTTTCTTTTTGCACAGCTCTGGCCATGGACTTAACCCATTTGGCAAAATACTAATTGGTAGTGTTGGGAGCAAATTTTAACTCCTTTCCCAACTGTAGTTGCACAAAGACCTCAAGGTCACTTATTCTTGCTTATCGATTCAGTAATGTATATAAACTCTACTCTCTTTTACATATATTTTCTTTTCATATTTTAAAAAAGTGCTTTGGTCTTTTTAAAGTAGAAAATAGATTTTTAAAAAGAAATCTGTTAAGAAAGAAGAGGCATTTAAAGCCTAACAACACCATTTTACAGCCATTTGTAGTTTAGCTGAATTCCTTGTATTTGTCATAAAAATAAGTATTACCTGATTTTAGTGAATCTCTAAAACTGTGTTTAGGCACATAAAACCGAACCCTTCTTTTGTGTAACTGAAAATCTATGTACTATATGTAGTAAGATTTTTTCCCCCAACATGAATTCTGGCTCTTTAAATAAGATAAACAAGTGTGAAGTAGTTATTAATTAAATCCAATAATTCAGCACTACTATTATATGTAATAGTAGAATGAGCCTGAGCAGGGAGACAGCAGAAGAGAGCTCTCTGAGCATCTGTTTCTTCATCTGTAAAAATGGACTAGAGAATCTCTAGGGTAAATCTTTCCTGATCTGGATAATGCCCCAGAAATACGGTCTTTGGATTTTAGGGGCCTTGATTTTCCTGTTCACCTTGTTTATGTAAACAACACCATATTGATCCCTGCACTATCAATTTAATGTCACAAAGAAGAAAATGATGAGCGGTACTGAACTTGACTTAGGTGAGCACTTCCTTTCAGACATTGCTCTTCCTCTTTTGACCACAGAGGGGAAGTATTGGGATTATTTAAAGGTACATAATGCTACCTCACAGAAGAGACAGAGACTTAAGTAACACAAAGTATTACTCAGTTCATTTCAGGACTGATTTTTCCAGATGGAACTTGTTTCACAATAAATGTTTACAGAAAAAAATAAAAGAGCCAAACTCCTTTTAATGACTTTATACAGGTTTCCTTTATTTTGTAATCAAAAATAGAAGCAAAAAGATCTACTTGAATAGGAAGTTAAATGTGAAGATGTATAGCAGTATACGTTTATTTTATATACAATAATGAAGAAAGACATGAAATAAGTCTATTTGGCCAATAGAGAGAACTTGCAAGTATGCTATGTTCAATAACATTCAGATGTGAAAGGAACCCATTTTTGATGTTGAGTACTCATAATTCAGTTCATGAGATTTTAGGTATGGTTTCCTTGGGCTTATTTAAAATTACCATGTTTCATTTGCAGAATATAAAATTTGCTGATTCATTTGTATTTTAAGGAAATTAAATCTTGAAAAAATGTTTTTTGGGGGGGATTACCATTCTTCAGTGTTATTGTTTGTTGCTTCTAAATATTTAATATATGCCTACATAATATTTTATCTTGCTCACTAGTAAAAAAAAATCTCACTTTTCTGCCCATTTTTTAGTAAAGAGTTTAATCTATGTAAACAAAATAGTTAAGCTATAGTGACAGAATAAAATTATAAATTTGTCCTCTGGTTGAAAGTTGGTTGTTTTCAAAGGTGCTCTTTTACTAATGTGCTTTTAAGGTTAATTTAAACATTGTCCATGTTTCTTTTAAATGTTTATGGCTAATACTAAATATGCTTTTATTCACTTTCAAAGAAGTTTCAGTTTTTGATATGCAGTATGTTTTTCTTTTTAAGATTGCATTTTGGACATTCACATTTGTCCTGTCTCATCCTGATATCCACAAGACCATTATGGAAGGCATATCTTCTGTGTTTGGTGCAGCAGGTACTACACCTGAGTTAAATGACATAATTGAAGACACTTCTGATAATGTGTACTTATTGCTGTTATTGGCTGAATACCATGTTTTATAGAAATTCAACATATCCTAAATTCAGCATAATTTGTTATGTGTTCCAAGATATAAATTGATCAGGTAGATTTCTAGAATTTAATTAGTGTCAAGCTTTTTAGAGGTCATCTAGTCCAAATCCTTTATTTTTCAAATTATGAAAGAAATGCTAGCAAGATTGTGATTTGCCTAACTTCCTTACTTAAATATATATGTGGGCTTTTCAATTTTAATCTCTTGGCCCCTCACTTTGATTGAGCTCCAAGTTCATGGTTGTAGAATTCAGGATTTTCCAGATTTTATAAAAGTAATATGGTGTAGAGGTCAGGTAAGGTTTGCTACCAGAGGATTATTAAGACAAACAAACAAAAAAAACAAACAAAAACCCTTAGAGTTGTTAGAGATTTGGGGGTTTAGGAACTGTGGATAGGGATTGATATCTAGAACTTTTTAATTCAGGTGTGGGTCCTGCTCTTACAATGTGTTTTAAAAAGCAGAAACAAGCTCCAATGCTTGTTTGTTTAGCATAATTTTACCTGTTTTGAGGGTAGATTTTTTTGAAAAACCTCAGTACGTCAAATTATGTATTCTGATATAAACAGAAAAGAAGTGATTTGGTTTTCTTGGAAGAAAGCAGTGTAATATTTGGGTTTAAGTTATGATGCCAGTTAACAGTTATCCCTCCCATCCTACACAATTGTGAAAATATTATATTTGGAGATTTTTGTTTTGTTTACTTTGGAGTTTTTTGTTGTGGATGGCTTCTTATTGAGTTAAACTAAAAAGCAAACTGGCTTGAGCAACATGAATATCTAAGCAGTACTGTGTGAGCTTGAGCATAATCAGCAGATGCTGGACCTTATCTCATAGAAATGGTAAGCATTAGAATCACTGAATGCCAACGGTGCTAACAGGTTAGATTCTAGAAATACACTGGTGAGTGTAAGAGAAGACCACTCACCTTTATGGAGCTTGCATCTACAAAGCAAATGGAAATGTACATGGCCACATGTGTACAAATAGAAGAAGGGAGCGCATCTTTGATTGTCATATATTCTCTTTTACCAGCTCCTGTCTTTTCCTGACTTAGGGTTCTCCAAATTCCTGGTCTTTAGAAAATAAAAGGGTAGGGATGCAGATGGTGAGGATAATGTGGGGAGCACATCTGACCCAAAGGCCTCAACAGAAGTGTAACATTAATCTGAATTGCTTGGGTTCTTGAATCTGGAACTCATGAACACGGTTTGAGCGGAGAAACACAAAATCTTTTCTTTTTTTCTTTATTCTCATTTATTTTCAGAAACCATTGTTCTTCTCTCTGATAGAAAAAAAATGCTCCTTCAAATAGTAATACTAGTGTAATAGCTATGTATACTATATCAATGCTTTCAGTCTATAAGACCCTACTGCAGAATCGACAACCACTTATAAAAACTATCAAACATCCATGCATAAGATGTAGTAGCAGCTCAGGAATTTAGATGTTGTGAGAGGAGACCACAGATCTTTGGAGGCTGATATCAAGGAAGATATCCATGGGCCCATACTAAGGATCCTGTCAAGGAGAGAACATTAAAGTGCATTGTGTTAGACAGGGCTCTTTAGAGAAACAGAACCAATAGAAGATGATAGATAGATAGATAGATAGGTAGATAGATAGATAGATAGATAGATAGATAGATGATAGATAGATAGATAGATAGATAGATTGATTGATTGATTGATTCATAGATCTAGGAAGAGATTTATTATAAGAAATTAACTAATGTGATTATGGAGGCTGAGAAGTCCCATGATCTGCTGTCTATGTAGGCCCTCAATGGATTGGATGATGCCCACCTACACTGGCGAGGGCAATCTACTGAGTCCACCAATTCAAATGCTAATCTCTCTTTCTGAAACACCCTCACAGACACACTCAGAAATAATGCTTAATTTGGGCACCCCATGGCCCATCAAGTTGATGCATAAAATTAGCCATCATAGTAGAGTAGGTATCACCCAATCCATTGAGATTTGTTTCTTTGGAGAACCCTAATATACCCACCCACATTTGGGAGAGCAATCGACCCTACTCAGTCTAGTGATTCCAGTGCTAATCTCAACTGGAAATACCCTCACAGACACAGGCAGAAATAATGTTTAGCCAAATATCTGGGCACCCTGTGATCCAGTCAAGTCGACATATAAAATTAACCGTCACATGCATAAAACAATAATCTTGACTCGATACAGCAGTTTTTCCATTCTATGCCCTTCTCTGTTGAAAGATCACTATTTCCTTCCTGAGAATGTTCTTTGTGGGTTTCCAGTGCTGTATCTCTCTAGCTTCAACTCTCAGTCCTAGAGTTCATCCCAGCACTTTGCCCAACTTTCTTATAAAACTAGTCTCAGGATAAAAAACACTACTATTTAATACTAGGGAAGGGAAAAGTTCAGTCTCATACCACTTTTCTGAGGGCACTTAGTTCTTTAACTGCCCTGATAGTGCCCCATAGCCTACTTTTGTCTTGTCTGTTTGTTTACTTTGAAATTAAAACCTCTTTAGGGATCCCTTGTGAAGATACTTACTTAGACCACATTATTTTGGGTGGCAGTTTTCACTATTCTGTCTACTTCCTCTGATCCTGTGTCCCTTTTATCTTCTAATATTTCCTTAGTCTGTATTATCTACTGCTTCTCTTTCTTGTTTTCTAGTATTACTACATTTATATTCTGTAAAATTGCCCTCTTTTTTATTTTAATGGAACACGGGGACAAAAGGAAGGTAGAAGTGTATTCTCAGTCTGCTATCTTGAACCATAAGTTTATGTGTATGTAAAATGCATCATTTTTTTTGCATTGATACATAACTCACATACCATAAAATTCACCCTTTTAAAGTATAAAATTTAGTGGTTTTTAATATATTCATAAGGTTGTACAACTATCACCACTATCTATTTCTAGAACATTTTTATTACCTAATAAAGAAACCCCATACCCATTAGGAGTCACTTCTCATTTCTTTCCAGTCCAGCAACCACTAATCTACTTTTTGTTTTTGCACATTTGTTTTTTCTGGACATTTCATGTAAATGGAATCATACAATATGTGGTCCTTTGTATCTGGCTTCTTAGACTTAGCATAATGTTTTATTTTATATTATGATGTTTTACATTGATTTTCAGGTGTTGAACCACCCTTGCATTCCTGGGGTAAATCCTACTTAATCATCATTTATACTCCTCTTTATATTTTGCTGACTTTGGTTGGCTAGTATTTTGAGTGCCCACCATTTCAAGGCATTGTATGAGGTACCAGAGCTGATTGTGAGTAATGTGTGGTTCATGCTCTTGAGGAAACTCACTAACAACATTCTTTTTATAAAAATGAAAGCAGATTTGGAAGCATCCAGAAGATGTTAGGAGAGAAAAAGGAATATTTACATTGTTTCTTTGGAGATATGTGAATTCTGTAGGTTTTCTGTGCCTGGAACCTTTTCCCTTACTCTTTCTCATTTTTCAGCCAGCTGGAGTCATCTCCTCAGATCTTTTAGGCTTGCCCTATTTAAGGTCATTTTCTCTAACTCTGCCCTTAGTGGTTCTCTAACCTGTCTCACTCTTTATTTCCTTCATAAGAGTTACTTTTTTATTTATTAGTGTATTTATTGGTCCTCTGTTTTCCCCACCAGTGTCCCAGACCAGAACACAGAAGGGGAGGTGGCACACATGTGCAGCTCTACATGGGGGACACCCACAGCCGCACGTCCATGTACAAGGCCTGGCTGCTCGGGCTGCTGCGCCAGCATGGCTGCTGGCGGGTATTCAACGTAGCCTGTGGCACCAGGTGAGCTCGGACTAGGGTCGGGGAGGGGGGCTTGAAATTATAAGCTTGAAATGCCAGATCTTCCCTGGCACACTGTAGAAGGAATCAGAAGTCCCAGGGAGATGGAAATGCTGGATTGGATTTATTATATGCAAGCTGTTTAGTAAACGGTGTATTTTCCAGATCCCCTTAAAATTAAAAGTAAGAGGGTCTGGAAAACACTCCCTTTACTAAAGCATTATGGAATGCATTGGTGAAGGCCGCCAGTATCCTTCACTTGCTCTGATGACTGTCCTCTGTAGACTAGAGATGCTAGTGGGGGATGCTGGATTAATCCATGGAACTAGGTTCCCTGACCTCAGTAAGAACAATGGCATTCTGGGGGTACCTGTTGGTGTAAAGGCCAAGTGGTGGTGCTTCACAATCAAAGGCAAGGTAGTACAATAGCCTTTAATAAAGCACAGAGAGAGAATAGTCATCAGGTGGACAAGATGACAGCCCTGGGGGAAAGGGTCAGCTTCTTTCCCCAGCCTCTCCCCCCCAGGGCTTGTTCAATGGACCTATGTATAAAGTGGCTATTGTGGCAGGGATGGAAGCTGTGCTTTGACTCAGTAACATTGTCTTCCCCTCTCCAAGCTTATCTGGCTTTGGCCAGTTCTGAGTATCCAACCTCCTTACAGCCCAATACCAGGTCCTTGCATGGGCACCATTCTCACCTGGTTGTAGATGGATTTGATTGGGCCCTCCCATCATGGACAGTCTGTACTTTATCATCACAGGTATAGACACATATTTCACATATAAATTTGTTTTCTCTACCTACAGTGCTTCCATCAGCACCAGCATTCCTGGACTTACAGAATGCCATATCCATCACCATGGCATTCCATATAGCATATGCTCCAACCAGGGCACACATGTTACAGCCAAGGAAACATACAAATTATCTCATAGCCATGAAATTCACTGGTGTTACCATGTGCCCCCTGACCTAGAAGCAGCTGGCTTGATAGAATGGTGGACTGGCCTCAATTAGAGCACAGCTTGGAAACTACACCCTGCAAGTGGGGGATGATATCCAACAGAGGCAGTGTATTTTTAAAATCGTAACCAGAATCAAATATAACACCAAGAACTAGGCAGTGGCCTCCTTAGTATTACATCTAAATTCTATAGCCCACTGGAAGAATTTCTTCTATCTATTCCCATAACAT